CCCGGCCTTGTTTCGGTCGGCCACAGGCAGTCAGTGCAGAGGAGGAGATGGCAAAGTGTCTCAGAGATGCAGGGAAGACATAAGGAACACCATTTTGAAAGGTTCCTCTATTTTGATACATATCCAAATGGATTCTCACACATGCTACACACATGGGCGCAAGCGATCGGAAGCCATTGCATTAGAACCTGTTTCAGGGCCCCCCCTGAGTTGCCGCGCTCGCATGTCATCCCGAAAGCTCTCCGATGTGTTTCCTTTTCCAAAACGCGGCGGCCGTTACGGGAAGACCCAGTTGCGCAACATGGATGAAGTTTGCCTTACCCCATGCTCTCTCAACCCCGACAGGGAAGCATCCCTGAGGACCCCTTGGCAAGCCTACCATCACTGGATGCAGACAGCAGCGAGGCCGGGAGTGTCGCCGGTGCCAGACTTTTCCGGAGGGTTTCCCGGCCGTTTCCGAATCTTGGAACCTGCAAAGCGGCGAATTCCATGGGAAAAACCAGCAGTTCATCAATCAACATTTGATTTGGGGAAATCCAGTCACCTGTCAAGTGGTTTTGTCAAAAGAGAAAAAGCACCCCAGACGTGACCGCGAACCTTTCTTAGTCGTCCATTCTTTTACCGACTTCACTTTTTGCGGATCCAAGTCTGGCCGTACGAGAAGGCGAGCTCGAGTGGATTTCATTTCACAATGGCAACGTGGTTGGGCACGGCAGCTACTCTTTTGACTTCGCATTCGTGATAGGCGCATCCCTTGAGATTGCTCATTTTCAGTGTCACCGGATGAGCTACGATCAAAACCCGGGTAGATGAAGGTTAGTAAGGGACAATCCCAACCATAAATAACTGCGCATATCCGCCTTCTTAGTTCTTGAAGCATGGTTCCTGGTAGACCATGTAGATACCGAGTTTTTATTATGACTCAGATGATTCAGGGTCCCTTGAAGTGGTCAGGGGTTTTCAGAATTGCTTTGGGCCGGTGGGAAACCCCAAACCATCATGCAGTCGGAAGCGTGGAGGTGATCTCCATGGTGCGCCACTCCCGAGTTCCTGGGCTTGAGAAGACTCAGAAAGTGATCGCCTCGCGATGCGCCGGAGGCGTTGTGTTCCCTGAGCTTGGATGACATTGGCACCGCTGCAGCTGCAGGCTCGACTGCTCTTTGTCCGGTTCAAAAAAGCTTGTTCACTTGCAGCCCGGCGAGACACGGAATGAGATGAACGACGAGGAAGGGATGAATTGGTGGGAAGGTTGGATAGGTCGTTTGCTCTTGCCTCTTCCTTGGCCTCTCTTTCACTCCCATATGTTTACCTTGATTTTTTTTGGATGGCGAAAGTTAGGTAAGGCAAGAGAAAGGGAAACAGTGGATGCGATTTGTGTGAGAGCCATGCCTTTAGTAGCTCTCACCTATATCGTATAAAAAAAAAAAAAAACTAACAACAAGAAGCAAAACCTAAAGACATAAGAAAGTGAAACACATTAAAGATAAAGAAGATAGACAAGCAAAATAAGATAAAAACAAGAACTAATTAACGATTTCTGGTTTTTGGTCTGTTAATAACATATTTTGCAGATTTGCCATATGTAATAATTACACAATTATGTAATTGTAGCTCCTGAGAGACGCAGCGGATCCCTTCATTCATCACTTCCTTCTAGATCCTATCTACAACCGAATTTTTATTAAGGATGTGATTCACCTTCTCTTGTTCCTTTCATGAATTGATTTTTAGCTATGTATCTCATCCTTTCGTAACTCATGAATTAATAGATGCTTTCCATTCCTAGTTATTTTGCTTGTGACGTTTGGTCTAGAGATTTGAAAATCCAGAATGGAAAGGATGTAAGCCGCTAAATCTCTTTGTGAGACGGTGTAATGAGAGAAGCCAATGGACATCCTCTATCACTATTCCCATTCCCACCGTCCTAAAGCCGTGTCAGAGAGAATTGCTTTAGGGCTCGATCTCAGGGAATCTTCACTGTTACACCTGTCTTTCAAGGACTTCACCTGCCAAGCGAAGAGATCCTGCGGATTGGTACGAGATAGAAAATAAATGTTTAGATGAAAGGGTGGATGCTTCCTTCATCCTTTCATCACCTATCTCCTATCTCCTTCCTTTCCAGCCGTAACATTTCTGAGACTCTAGAATCCTTTCTGTGAAGGCCATCCCTAAAGTTAAGATAATAAATGAAAAGGTGCCCAAAAAAAATACAAATAATAGAGCTTCAGAAGCTAGAAAGCTTCCAAAAAGAGGAAAACATATGAGTTGGACTTCTTATTGTTTAGTCAATTCTCTGAATAAACTCTCTAGACCAAATATGACAACAAAAGAAAAATGAATTAAGATGACATAAGAGAATACCTCTATGAGAAGTGATGTTGTTTGTCCAACAAGAAGTGGCTGTTGTCAAAACCCAGGAAACCCCTGGTGAACGTCAAAATAGGTTCTAAAATGGGTGTTCCTTTTCCCCAAAATGCAGAAAGGCATAGGTTACCCATACCCAAGTATCAGCTCCTAAGACAAGTCGAGGCTTAAGGCATTCACCGTTGCCTCAGGCCAGCGCGTGCTCGCCTCCCTGAGGCGGGCTCTCGAAAGAATCCCTTGAACCGGACATGCGCCGAAAGCTGCCGGGTTGGCGTTCCGCCAAGGTGACCAACAGTTACATGGGTTACATGGGTTACATACATGGGTTACTTGCGTGGTTTTTGTTGTTTGATGGTGTCTCAGGTTACATGAATGGGTTACATTTTGGCTTATTGTGGTTTAGTGGTGGAAATCCAACTACTTAACCGCTAAAGCTTGATTTGTTGCTTCCCTTCCAACGTCAACCAAGCATGGGTTTCCCCACATAACACCTGGTAAGGATCCCCAAGGGTTGCCTGTGGCGAAGCACCGGGGTTTGATGAAATCCACCTTCGAGAGAAAGGCAAGGTATGGTTGGCGCTTTTCAGGAAAGCGGAGAGCAACCTGGCACGATGCAAGCCGAGCAAGGGATCCATGTTTTACATTCCGCGACTTTCGGCTCAGTGCATTTTTGGACAAGGGGACTGCTCTCGCTGTGGATTTCGCGGAAGACATGGTGCTGCCAATGCGAGCAATGAAGGCCTGGTAGACATGTGCGCCTGCTGAATCCAGTTGACGCACTACTGTGAACGGAATTCATTGTGCACCAATTGGGATGGTGTCAACCCTATGAACGGGATAAAACAACTGGTGCGTTTTGTGGATTCTGTATCACAGTTTCATGATCATATGGCTGTGGTTGTCAAAACCGTTTTGGGATCCTATTTTAGTGGTTGGATTGGGATTCCGGATGTTCACTGGATTTGGGCAAACCGATTTGGGTTTTGACCGTTTCATGGCCATCTGGGTTCTCGAAATGGACGAACTTCTCGCGTCGAGTCTTTGAGTTCCAAAAGATGAGCCTTTTAAAGCCCACTGGCGCTTTTTTGTCAATAGGGAACTAGGTCCCCCAGCTAGGTGCCCTTTTACCATTTCTTTTTTGGTTGGCAGGGTTCCCCTACTAAAATAGACCACAGAAAAAGGTTGGTAGTTTTATTCTAATCTCTGTACTGGATGACCTAGGGAAATAGCGAACCCGGGACCCCAAAAATTACTTGAACCTAAACACTAAATTGAAAAGGAAAATGATCAGGTCCAAAAAACAGCAACCCCAACAAAACCACATCAGACCCATATCTGTGGGGCCCCATGTTATTTTTTTCGAGTGGCTTCTGCACATCGAGCTGCGAGTTGTCAAGGATGGCCAGTTAATGGTCACGCAACACCCAGTGGATCCCAGTTGTGTTTTGCCCTACCCCGGCGATTAAAACCTTCTGGTTTTATAAGGGTGGTTCTCTTGGTTTCCTGCTAGACCGCTACATTGGATCCACTGGGTTGCTTTGAAAGGTCGCTGGGGGTGACAAAAACAGGTAAATGGATCGATCCCCTGGGTAAGGGTACCCTTTTGGGAAACCCAAAGGCGGCGAAGGGCCCCATTTTCAGACGACCATCCCACCAAAAATGGAACCCACTCTGAAAGGGGTTGCGTTGTTTGTGTTCGAACAACCCCTTTTGAAGGTTCTGCTCACCGACTCGAACGATTGATTGAAGCCTCAATTGAAAGTACCGGTTACGGATTAGCGCTGGGATTGGGTTGCTGGCCTTGAGTACTTGACTGAGACAGGTGACCATTGTGGGAGCTTGGCTTGAGCTCTTTGAGCAGACTAGGACTAACGCAAGAGATGGACAAATCAGGCTGACTTCAGCAGTGAGGACAAGCAATCCATGTCTCAAGGCAAACCCGAGTATCATGGATCAGGTGTGCGTCCAAGAGGACTTTGATCAGCCCATCGAAACTCCCATCGCCAGAGAGAGAGTTCAAAGTCACCTCGTGAGAGTCCCTAACGGGTTGAAGGGAATACCAAGCCCAGGCAGTCCAGTAGCCTTTCGGTTTCAGAGAATTCCGATCTCCGATGGCCAGGCCGCGATGAAGGCCATGAAGGGACCGATGAAGGCCATGAAAGCTATGAAGGCCGGTTGCCTTCGTCAAAGGCTTTTTCATTTTCACCTCGCGGAAGGTTTGGAAGGTTCCAGCTGGGTTCGTGTCGCGCCTTCGACTCTTCCTACAGGGTTGTGGGAATAAGGGGTTTCCCCCCACCTCTGTGATACCAAGAAACCTCCCTGTTTCAGCGGAGAATTTGTCGTTGGGAAGGCGTTCCCCTTAAGTTGGAAATTCCCACAACCCTGCAGTGTGTGTGTGTGTGTGTGTGCCCGACATCTGGCGCCTTCATGTCGCCTTCATGTCGACTTCATGTCGACTTTATGTCGCCTTCATGGCCATCAAGGCGACGTTTTTGCGATGTAAGAATGTCCAACATGTACCATGCTCAAATACCCTACCTCCTTGGGGGTTGGAGTCATTTTTAGACAACAAATGCAGAGGTTCCTATGGGGGCAAAGTCATGTGGTTGGTGTATTGACCATGACGGTCCAAGGCTATGAAGGCTATGAAGGCTATGAAGGCTATGAAGAAGGCTATGAAGGCTATGAAGATTTCCAAGATCGCCAAGGCTGGTACACGCGAGCCGTCCTGTCAACCAGCTTGGGGCTGGCACAGCGTGGGCTTTCTGCCAAAAAGGGGGCGGGTAAAAGGTGCCTGGTATGTGATCCCAAGCCGGTCTTCCAAAGCGGTGGGGGGTTCTCGCTTGGACAATCATGCGTGTAGCATGCGAAAAGAAATCCGCTTGCAATCCATTCGGAACTCAGCCAAAACCATCGCGGCTTTGGAAAAGGTATCTTCTTAAAGGGAAGCTTCAAGCGGACATTTTTCAAGCCAGGGAAAGCGCGCAAAAGTCTCGGTCTTCAAGGGCTACAAGGAGAAGACCTCGAGCGGAATGACCAAAGACAAGCTGACGCTGAACAAGAATGGCCGAGTGGTGTCCAAGGCGCTGAACCTGTCGCGCCGGATTTTTGGAGTTTGGAGAAGTAGGAAGCGAAGAGAAAGCCTTCAAAGCTTCCAGAGCGAGATTCGATCAAAGTCTCCGGCAGATCCATGGGGGAGCTCTAACTGTCCAGAATTCAGAATGAACCTTAATTTTCCATGCGGTGTAGGCATGCTTCACCGCAGCTCATGTCCTTCAAGCCACAAACAACTTGAAGGATGTGTCGGGCGCCACACAAGCGTGGCGTGCAAGCTGACGGAAATATGTGTGTGTGTGTGTAACCAATGTCATTCCCTTTGCAGTAAAAGATCAGAGAATAGTGGCCGCTCATCTCAGAGGGGAACAGTTGCAAGGCCTGTTCAGCTGTGAGTATGTTTTGGAAGCTTCAAAGGAAAAGCAGGCCACTGTTTTTTGTTGTACACGCCTCCATTGCTTGCCTACTTGTTTTTTGGTAACATGAGACAAGCAGCATGATTGAGTTCCTCGAAGGCTCTTGCGATTTGTAATATGGGTTTGTCTCTTTTTGAGGGCATACACCCTTTCCGTGGTCGATTCAAACGGGCGATCGAAAGGACGTGTTCCCTTAAAGCCTTACATGGGTGTGTATGCGTGTGTGTCTTTCTCTTCTTTTCTTTGGGGGGGGACCCCTTCTTGCGTTTGGTTTCAGATGTAACCCAAAAGCAAGTTCACTACTGTGCATGGGCAAATTCCACCAGCTGCCTCCATCCAGTGGCCTCTTTTTTTTCGGCGAAGCTTCGCATGGCCTGGGAGGCCCAGTCCGCGCTGGCGAAGAAGCGGAACTCGCTGGGGAAGTGGAACAAGGCGGTCTCAGAAGCCCGCAAGGCCGGCCGCGTCTGGCCCCCGGGTCCCGGGTTTTGGCCGGGGGTCACGTTGTTTTTCTGTTTTTCTTTTTTTTCCCCGGTGTGTTTTTTTGGGAACGCCGGGGCTGAAGCTGAGGTTCCCCCGAAAAAGGCCACCCGGTGTTGAAGAATTTCCTGGTTTCAAACTCCTCGTTTGCTGAGGACGGGGCTCGAGAACCCTGCAAGGGGTTGAGAAGCCACCAAGGTTTCAACCAGTACAGTGCTGCTGTTTGGTTTGATGACCATAAGGCCCAGATGATCAACCTTTATGGGAAAAACTGGTAGAACCAAAAGTCAATGGGTGTCCGGCTCTCATTTGTCCTCAGTGCATCACTGGCCTTTCATGCCAGACGGGGTTTGAATAGGTGACACTGGCCAATATCGTGTGAAAGTTCCCGGCTGAAAACAAAACAAAACATTGGACCTCAGCCGCTTTCTGCGATAGGTTCGGAGAATTTGAGTGTGTAAAGCGGCGGGAATCCAGCACTGCAATGCGGTCGTCAAAGTCCTCCCCATGTTGGACCTCCTTTAAATGCGCAAAGCGTCACTAGGTGCCAAAAGAGGGGCGCCGGTTTTGCGCCTCGAGCGGTTGGTCTTTGGCAGGCCTTGGGGATCAAGGGCTTCTGTGCCGTTGGCGGCAAAACGAATCAGGGCAAAGCCTTGTACGTCAAGGCGAAGTCCCTCTATGCCGCCGCGAGCTTAGGCATACGAATTCCAGCCGATGTGGTTGCTGAAGCCGAGATTTCGAGCACATGGCGAGATTTCTTTGGTGTCCCTTCAAAAACCATGGTGAGCTTCAAACCAAATGTGTGGTTTGAAGGGAACCAAAGGAAGCCTCGCCATTTGTTAAGCGATAAGCTCACAAAAGCATCAGGTGGCAAGACTAGTAGGGCTTCTGATTTCGGGTATGTTGCTTTCGGTGAGGCTGCCGTTTCGCAGACATGGCAGTTTCGCAGACTGAGTAACTCTCAGGAAGCCAGCTGAGCAGCTGAGATTTATCCCAAAATGTATTGATCGAACGCGGTCTGAGGGACCTGAGAAGCGGCACCAGATCATCATAGCATGCATATCAATGCACACGAATCTATGATATGACATGATATGTAAACTATATATATATATACACAGAAAAGCACACGTATACTATATACACCTGCCTATCCTCCCGCACACCGCACTTCGAATGCAGCCGGGTAGCCCCATAGGCATTGCCTCCTGAGGCAGTTGCCTGTTTCATTTTCCCCGTGGGCAAGCTGTGGGTACCATACTCTCGTGGTCATGCACGGAGTGGAGAATCGACACGATTCCAGTCAGGTTCGCGCAGGGAAAAGCTGGGGTGCAGCGTTTCGCTAGAAATGAGGCAGCTGGTTTAAAGATCACCGTTTGGTTGCCACTTTAGAGTGAGTTTTCTTGTGGGGCGATGGTCAAGGGGGAAGCATAGGGAGGCCTGTGCTCCTTTTGTGCCTTGAACCTTTGCAATCTGCTCGCGGACCAGCTGGACACCCCTCAAAGGAAGCTTCAATTCAAAGAATTGCGCTTCACGGGTACCTGGAAGATCTTTTGGGCTCCTGAAGGGACCCTCTGTGAGGTGCCATGGCAACGTGGGAGGGAGGGTACCTACAAGCAACATGGTCCACTCAGCGGTGTGCGCATGGGACCAGATCGTGCACAGCTGTTCGTTCCCCCGACTGCGACAACTGCACGTGTTTTTTGTTTTTTTTGGGGGGTGGCCAGTGGTTCTGGAGATGAGCGGAGGCCACTGAGTCCCGTGGGTCAAAACCAATAGGATCCCATTTTGGGGTAAGTGCACCACCCATTTCAGAACCTATTTTAGTGGGGATTGGGATGTTCACTGGGGGTACGGGATTTTGACCCATGGCCAGGTGACTGCGCCAAAGGTCTTTATGAGATTTTCTTTGTGTGCGGCCTTGGAACGAGCAGCTCATTCCCTGCAAGTCGCTTTCAGCCGATACCGTTCTTTCGGCGGGACTCTGGTACTTGCCTGGCAGACTCGACGCGCTGCCGGTTTGGGCTCAATCAAAAGTAGGACCCCCCCAGCACGGCTGGCTGCTGCATGCAGCCCGTGCTGCTTGGCGTGAAGCAGCCATGTCATGTGTTGGTTTGGAGCTGGCACCCTCTTTAAGGTCGGTTTAAAAGGAAGTCGATGAAAAAACCTGGGGTCCATGTCCGTATTTGGTTGCCTACCCGTTTGAGAAAACAGAACAATGCGTTGGACAGGTTTTCTTTGAAGTGTTGGAAGACATTTGAGAGCTGCACAGCTCAACGGATATGGCGAAGGCGTATTTCCTTCTCTCCTCGTGAAGTGAAGGCCGAGGTCCGAAGTCCCAAGTACTCGACTGCTTTGCCCTTCAGGCTATGAGCAGCTTTGGGAGAAGAGCGCTCTTACTCCTCTGCTGCAGTAGCCACTCTGCCGCAATAAAGCCGAAAGCAAGTAAGCAAGCTTGGGGTCAGCGAGTCACTCAAAAGCCTTGGCTTTTTTGACGTGCGACTGACTTCAGAGAGAAAGATGGCAAGACTTCTCTCCCATGAAAATTGCAGACCGTGCCCTTTGCTTTTTGCTTCTCGCTGTTCCATCTCCAACCATTTAGGGCCTTTGGCGGGCCGAAGGGAAAGGCCTTTTGGAATGCACGCTCCGTAGGCTCTGGACGTCGGTGGAGTGACTCACTGGATCCCTGAGTTCCTGGGCTCTTTTACTCGCTTTTGGGTTTGGACCACTTCAGTGCCAAACCAAAAGGTCGTTTTTTGTTTCCCCAATCCGCGGAAGTTCGGGTACCGAATGGGTGGGATTAAATCAATATTCACAGGAATTCATATCCCAACCGGATGTTGTCCAGTATTTTCAGTCGAGACTTCCGCGCGATAGGCCCCAAAGCCGCTCCTGGTCGCGCAGGTGCTGCTGCCATAGAGTTGGGCACCAACCCGGCGTGCTGGCTGAACTTCCAGGCGCGGCGGTGCGCTGAACCTGGGGGGAAGTGCCCGCGTCCTTGGCAAACGGGAAAGTGAAGGTTAGTTAGGGAAACTTACCTCTTAAAAACACAACTTGTCAACTTTTTGGGTAACATGGGCTATATGTCTGTAAAAGATTAACTTCCCCAGGGCTTGGAGTTTTAAGGGGTAAGGGAAAGTCCTAGCCAAAAATCAGTTGCGACCGTCGTTTGCTGGCTCTTTACAGTCTGATGTAGTACCGTTTTAATACCGATCGGTGTTGATTACGCTTCTTTTTCCCTGTCACGCCCTGAGCCCAGTGCGGCACGGCCCGAAGCGGCGCACGCAAGCAATCACACGCAGCCCAAGGTTGGAGGGTCGACCCGATGAAAGTCGGCAGAGGAAACGTGCGCACGGTGCGCGACGGAGATGGATGCCCATGCCGAAGAGCCGCAGCGTTGCTGCTCATTTCTACGCTCTTGTTCGCGATTCTCATAGCTTTCGCATGCAAACATGATCCACGTCGATTGGCTTCGGAAACCCTCGAAAAGGTCTCCGCAGGGCCAAGACTCTGAATCTGTGGTCCATTGGTCAGGTTTCTCACAGTAGAAACCCTAAACACTGTGAAAATTCCCCCGGTTGATAGACCATCCCTTAGGAACACCATGGCGCAACACGGGTCCCGGTCCATGGGTATGTGTCAACATAGGGCGCCCACCCCCGCACCCCACCCCACCGAATATGTATATATATATATATATACATAATATAAAGAGACATAGCAATGAGCTGTTTTCCTCCTGGTGTTCCTACCCAACCTGAAGTTTGGAAGGAACTTCCATAGCACTTGAGCTGTGTGTCCCTCCATCTCCATATGGGAACCCCCCCAACTGTCCCACTGTTGGGGCGTGCTTCGGCGTCCCGACATGGACCGGATCGTAGGCTTGCAAGCACCGTGTTTCAGATTTGCACACAGGCCCTACGCGCAAAAGAAAAACCCTTAAAAGGCACCTATACCCGTGTGTCTTTGTTCAAGAGTTGGTGTCCTTTGAAACTTCTGGGGGTGTTTAGGTTGAAACTCAAGGACAACGACCCATGGTGATAGACCAGAGCTACTTTCCAACAATCATAGTGGGCGTTTGGGGCCGTTTCAAGGGAATGGCTTCGCTTTCCAAACCCTCCGATCGCTGCTGTCGTGAGCGGCCGCCTGTTGCTGTCGCTGCTTGAAAACCCTGCAACGTTTTTTAGGAAAGATTGGATGTACAAACAAAGCAACTATGCCGGTCCATCAGTGTCCCAAGGCCGAATCCAAGAGGTCTGGTTGGTGGATCAGGTCTACGATGAATTCAACGAGACGGGGGAAGCTTTGCCACACTTGCGGAAGTGAAGGAATGAAAAGCCGTGGCAAAGTGCATGTTCTTCCTTTTGGGGACCTCTCCCCACACCGCTTGAGTGTGGAGTCTCTCACCGGCTGTTTCACACCTGGAGTTTCAGGTGATCCTCGAAAAGGATGGCGTAGAAACCGAAGCGGATGCCTGCTCTGTGCCCATGGAGGATCAAACCTTTGTGGCCACTCGTCGAGCAAAGCGTGGAGTTCTGATGTTCGGGAGCTTCGTTTTTTGCGGGTACCCTTTTTCAGGTTGATAAAACAATTAGCTAAAAAACGCGTTCCCCCCCCCCCCCGTTTGGAGAAAAACCCACATGAGTTAGGAGATCAAAGCGGGAATGGTTTGCCGATGGTTCACTCTGCTTGTTTGAGGGGTTCAGTTTGCAACCACTGCAATTGTTGGGAGCGGAATTCCAAAGTTGTCACAGAGTAGTACCGGTGATTTAGAGGTTTGCAGTGAGAGGCCACTTTGTGATTGCTTGCGTTGACGCAGGCCTTCCTTGCATGACTCAGAAAGGTCTGTTTGAGCTAACACAGGTTCCATGTTGCCAGGCGTAAGAGTGGGCCAATCCGCCCCAAACCATCTCGTTGAGGTGCAGGAAGCTCGTCATTGGATGCTCTCGCCACATCAGCCATGTTGAAAACGATAGGCGATTTGCAATGCAATCGTCATTTGCAGCTGCTCCTTTTGACCTACAGAGTGGAATGATGGAAGCCGTCCATGTTCTTCAAAGATCTTCAACGAACTTGGATGTGGAAGACAGCAATGCAAAAGCAAGAGAGGCTTCAGTTTGTTGTCACAAGCGGTTGCTAATTGGCCCCCAATCGTTGTTTTCGTCGATTGGAAAAGGTGTTTGTTTGTGTAGCGGCTGAGAAGCTGTGCGGCATGGTGACTTTCTTTGCCACGCCAACGAGTACTTGCCATCCCGGATTTTAGCCAGAGCATTGCCAGCGGTCGGCTTGGCCCAAGGTGGTTGTCATCAAGGTTTTGCCTCTTGGCTTGCATTGGACTGAGGCGTGCACTTGAAGCCTTCAGATGTCAGGCAAGTTGATGCCGTGGCTTCATGGGTCCGGAGGGTTGGGAGGCTTGCTTCTGCAGAGATTTGGCAAAGTGCAGGCTAAGGTGCTTGGAAGCAGACTTGGTTGCCACCAAAGGGATTCAGTTTCAGAGGTTCCCTACAATTATGACCCACTGGGTTGACCTCCATTTGGGAGCTACCATAAAAAGCCTTGCTTGCAACCGCCATTTGGCCGCGCCGAGAAATGTCGCCATCTTCTATTCGCTCTTCATCTTCACGGTGAAAGCTCTGTGGGCCTGCCAAGGGGGTCCTCTGAACTGGGGTGCCTGAAAGGATGCATGGGGCTATATGGATGTGGCTCAAAATTAAACAGGGGGGGCCAACTGCAGGTTTTGGTCCATGTTTCCACTTACCAGGCGTCCATTTTGGGTACCGGTTTTTTGAGCCACAGCCATATGGTTGTTTCAAAAAAGTGGTCTCCTTCACCAGCAGATGCGGAGAATGGCAAATCGGGATTTTTTGTTTGGTGTGTCCTTTAAGGAACCCTGCATGTGTGTTTGTGTGTGCAAGTCACACGCCGAGAGAGGGTCCGAGGGTCCGAGCGGGACTGGTCCCTCAATCAAATTACCTCA